CCCACCCGCTACTGCCCCCGCTGGGTTATTTTAAGTGCCAGCCCCGTGAGCTCATCCGTGGAGGATGAGGGAGGGGGGAGACATCGCAGCACCGGCATCTTGCTGAGCACGGGGCTGTGGGAGCTCTTTGGGGGACACTTTGTGTCACTTGGCAACTCCCAGCCGGCCAGCTGGGCTTTCTTGACAGCCAGAGGAGAGGAAAAGGCCTTTCTGGGCCACACAGCCAAGGACCTCCTCGAGATGTGTGTCCTGGAGGGTGATCTGACCCTGGAGCCTGTTCTGAGCGCGAGTTGGATCAAAGAGCTCCACGAATCCCTTTCCTACATCCTGTCTCCTGTACCCCCCCACCCCAGGTCCACTCGGGTGGGTCACGTACCCCTGGAGATCTGGACCATAAGGAATATATCTTCTCCTTGTGGTCGTGGCTCCTGCACAGGAGGAGGAGGCTCTGGGGTGTCCAACTGCTCCCTGAAACCCCACCAGTGTCCCTTTCTCCCAGCCTGAAGCTGAGTTCATCCAATCCTTTGCCCGAGGAGGACCAGCAGCTCTGAAACCCAACATGGCATTCCCTGAGCATCTTTCCTTTCTGGCAGCCCTTCTGCCCTTCATGGAGTCGTGCAGAGTGTCACAGCCCCAGGGAACCCACTGATCGGGGCCACCCTTCCAAAATAAACCCGTTTCCAAACGCAGACGTGCTGGGAAACCCCATCGGGAACGGCACCCGCCAAGGTCCTTCCCAAATGGAATCCACCTCCATCCATGCACTTGGGCTCCTTTCCCACTGGTGTCCAGCCAGTTCCCAACCCAGCTGAGAAAAAGGTTGGAATGATGTTAAATGAGCACCAAACCTTTCCACAGGGAAAGGGACGGAGCTGGAACAGCTCCCACCAGGGAGGGTGGGTGATGAGCCGAGAGTGACCAGGCTTTTTCCCTGCTGGGAAAACCATGGGGCACAGGAGAAGAGGCCACAAAAGGGGAAACTTCAGAGCAAAGAGAAGATTTCCCAATTCCCTGGAAAGCCCCATGGGTGAAAATCGGGACCCTGCCTTGAGTGTCTGTGCGTGCCTGGACAGGAGTGGAAGGGACAAGGACTCTAGTCCTCCCACTGCTCTCCTGGAACTCTTCTCCCATCCCTTGGTGTGCTCTCAGAGTCTTCCTAGGGAGTTTTAGTGCTCCCACGGGGTCCATTTTCCCTCTTGATTGACCCCTCGCTGCCACATCCCCTCAGCACCAGCAGAGGACTCTCCTGCAGCAGGTTCAGCCTCTTCAGCAGAACTGGTTCCCCATTAAAAATCAGCACAGGATGGGTTTTGCACCACTGGGATCAGGGTCTTCCATGCACCTTCCACCGCCTTCCTAGGTCTCCCAGTGCTCATCCCACCGGGTGGGATCTCAGCTGAGAACCCCCCCATCCCTTTCTTCCCAAGCTGGGTGGTTTGAGGGCATCTCAAGGCTCCCCCAGGATTTGGAGGGGGCTGGAGATGGGGTTGTCACATGTTGCCTTTCCACAGTGAGTGGCAAACGCAGAGGAGCAGGATCTGGTGGAGGAATTTCCCACTCTCAAATCTAATGGGGCTGCAAGCTGTGTGGGATCACCCAGTCAAGATGGGATTCAGTGTGACAGTCCAGCTGCTCCCCAAAGTGCTCCACACTCCAAGATGCTGGTGTTTAGCCAGGGCTTAAGCCTGCAGGTGGTTTGAGGAGATATTTAAAATAAACAAGAAAAGAGGATATTTTAAACTTTCAGGCTTTCCTGAGCATTTATTTGTCAAGGAGTCTGCAAATATTGGTATTGAACCTATGAAAGCCTTAAAAATAAACTCCTCACAAAGCCGGGTGATTGATGTGTTATTTCAAGCACCCACTGCTGTGGTTTCCTCCTAACAAATTGCTGCCTTGGCCCATCCATTTTGGGGAATTTCTGCAATAATATTAGCCTGTAGGATTTGGGAATCTCCTCCCTCTGTTCGAACGCAGTGTTGGTGTCCTGGGTGGCTCTGGGCCACCATTTGTCACCTTCCCTCCTTCAGCACTGATGGACACTTTCCCCAGGCCACCACGGGCATGAGGGAAGTGGGGGAGGTTTCTCTGGTGTCTAACACAGAGTTTGAGCTCTTGGGTGGGGGCTCTTTTGGCTCCTTCTCCTTCTTATCACAAGCGTTTTTTTTTCCATGAAACTCATAGGAGCTCAGCAAGGTGGAGACTTTGTCCCTCTATATTAAACTGGCCAAGCAGATTAGAAACTATTTGGAAGGGCAGACAGACTTGGCCCTTGGAAAACCAAGCTCCAAGCAGGAAAGACAAGAATTAAAATGGAGCCAGGACTGGAAAAAGAAGTGGATGTAGCGAGTGTTTTACAGTAACACATGGCCCGCTGCCTGCCTCGCTCTGATTAAGGATCTGCTTCCTAAAAGGCACGGTGAGGAAGGAAAAGTTCTCCTCCTGGATGCTGGGAAGGCCTAGGAGGAGTGTCATCCCTCTGGCCCATGTGGCAGATTTATTGCCTTGGCAGGGAACCATCAGTGCTCTTAACTTTCGCTTCCTGCCCCCAGTGCTGAGGGATCCTCCGAAGTGGTCTGGGCTCCGTGTTCCCTGACAGTGGATATTTTTCCTCCTTAATTCTCATTCTTGGCTGTGAGTGACTCACACGAGGCAGTGCAGAAAAAGATCTGGATGTGATGCTGCAAATCCCACGAGCTAAACCTGTTCATGTCAGGCCCCTGGAATCCACCCCGGAGCGGGACTGAACCCGGGCTGAAAATCAAGAGGGGCTTTTCAGGAGGTCCGTTCTGGGACATCTAATTTAATGATTTTGGGGGTGTCTGCAGCCTTTTCTTTGTCTTTATGCTCTTAAGGCTTTGTGTTTTGGTGACTAGAAGGTTCTTGAAGAGAGAAAGCAGAGCTGAGCTTTCTCCCCCAGGGAAGGGGACTGTAAAGTGCTTCTGTCCCCCACCACAGGGGCAGTGGGACATCAAGTGTAAACTGATTTGAAGGCTGGAGAAATCGCCTCTGGGGTGAAAATGAAGGAGTCATGGAATCCCAGAATGGTTTGGACTGGGAGGGAGCTTAAAGCTCATCTCATTCCAACCCCCTGCCATGGGCAGGGACACCTTCCACTAGCCCAGGTTGCTCCAACCTGGCCTTGGACACTTCCAGGGATGCACAAAGCAGTGGGATTCTGTGAAATTACAATTTCAGAGATCATCCATATCACACTGAAGTTCCTGTTTGAGCTGCTCACATCGTTGCTGAGCAGATTCCAAGGTGATTAATCCCAGTTTGCAATAAATTCATCAATGGAGCTGAGCGTGTCCCGAGCCTTGTTCCATCATCAGGGAAAGGCCCAGGCTGGGGACAAAGAAAAACTGCAGTGGGAAACAGGATGTCAGGAAACCTCCTCCTGGTGTCTGCAGGGGAAGGTGAGGAGCCTTTGAGAACAAGAGGTTTCAGCACGTGGAGTGAGACATCTTTGCACGCATCAGAGGAGACATCAGGAGAGTGCTCATAGAAATAAACTCCTTTACTGTCAGAAATCTGAGGTGTCTGCACGTTACAAAAATAAAAATGTACAGTCGTATCATCATAAAACTCACCATTTTTCTTTTTTGTTTTTTAGTATAAGTTAGTGCTTTTACAAAGAAACAAACAACAAAAAAATGTTTCTAGATACAGATTTCCAGTTGGTTTCCTCTCCAACTGCTCAGTGGCACTTGGGGATCAGGATGGCAGAGGTCATCCCTGATGGGACTGGCAGTGTTGCCCAGGGTGGGGTGGTTTGATTCCAGCTGGGAGAAAGGTGGGGTCTCCAGGCGGGACTGCAGGAACTTTTGGGCATATATTTGGAACTAGGAGCGTGTTTTTGTTGAATTATTCCGAGCACGGAACTCTGTGCTGGCACTGCTTTTTGGCAAGTGCAGGAGCCCAGGCCAGAGCTGGCCTGGAGTGACGTTTGTCCCAGTTCAGCACTTGCCTTGAATTCGTTTCTGCTCATTTCCCCCAGCGATTTGTCTCGCCCCGGTGACCACGCCGTGACCTCGCCACAAAGCCAAACTCCCCTCACAGGCCCCAGGTTAAAAAAAAAAGGTGCTGCCACGGTGCAAGTCCTGCCTTAACCCAATCTTAGCCTAAAGGGCACTCGAGGGTGGGATGAACCACCCTAAAAACATTCCCTTTGCCTTTGTTGGTGGTTCCCAAAGCTGTCACGGCGCCATCCTTTGCCTCCTGTGCTGGTGACAGTGCTGGGTGGGCTGAGACCCCTCCATGGGACCGTGACTCCACCAAGGTGGGACCACAGGAACCTCCCAGTTCACCCTGACCGGTCCCAGTCACCCAAATCCCACACAAAACCGTGACGTGTCTTTGTCTCCACCAAACCACTTCACAAGAAGTGGTGGTGGTGGGGGGGGAGCGGTGAAGCTGAGGAGTGGTCTGAGGTTTTGGTCTAAACCAACATCAAACGTGTTTGTCTAATCCTAAAATGGAGCTTTTACAAAATGTGACTCGTCCAGGGCTGCAGCACGAAGCAATTTTCATTTCTGGGGTGAGGAATCAGTGCCCTCGCGGCAGGGAAAACACGGACTGGGGCTCTTGGCTCTCCAGCCCAACAATTACTCAGGGAAAGGCCAAGTGGACCTCCTGGTGAAGTGTTCTGTGGATGTTTCCTTTGAACTGTCCCGGTTGATGAGGGATGCGAGGCCAAACCCAGCCAGGATCTGGGTTAATCTTAGCACCATGCTTACTGGTGTGGCTCCTCAAGCCAGGCTTTAGCACTGCCAAATTTCCTAGGGAAGGTCTACCTTGTCTGTAAGGGATACACTCACTGGTTCCAGCAGATCACTGGGAATACTGGGATGATGGGGAGACCAGACAGCAGCGTCTGGGCAGCATTTTGGGTCATGCCAAGCTGCTAAAGGATGTGGCAGCACCACGGGGATGAACATGGGGCTTTGCCCCTTGGCTGGAAACACGAGCCACCGGTGAGGGGGTCTAAAGCAAGCCACGAGGAGCCCACCTTAAATTTTAATGAGCTGGAGATGATTATTAAAGTCAGCAGCTGGAAGGAAGCTCCTAAAGGGTTCCTAAAAGCTTTTAAAGGGTGCATGTTGCTGCTGGGAAGCACTAATGGGTTTTTTGGAAGACGTTGGCCCCACTGGAGAAACCTACAGGGGACCTGTTTGATGGTGCCAGTGAACTCCAGTGGGGTGGAAGGTCCATCAGCACCCTTGTTGATGGGAAGCCAGCCCTTGGACAGGAACTAGGAGTGCCCTCCCAGCTCAGCCAGCAGGTGCCTGGGCTTGAAGCTGGCAGAGCATTTCTTCAGGGATGCAAAGCCCTGGGAGACTCTTTCCAGCTCCCAGTGCATATTTGCACTTTTGACATTTTCGTGAACCTGTTTAGCAGAACCACAGCTCCTCACGGACCCAAAGCCCTTCCTCCGTGGCCAAGGCACAGAGAAACTCCTGCTGCCTCTGTGCCAGGAGATCTGGAGACACGCAGGTGGAATTCCTTTGGGAGGGACCTTTCCCACACAGCGTTTTTGCTTTAGAAAAAATCCTTTAAGGCATTCAGGGCGTGACTTTTTTAGCAGATTCGGTCACCCGACCTCACGGGTGGGGAGATGCCCCAACAGAGGGGCAGGTTTGGATGATGAGGCAGAGATCCAGGGTTTGTGTGTGGAACCACGGCTTCATCTTCCCGAAAAATACACATTTGGAACAGCAACAAGCAGAGGAGCACGCTGAACGCCGTCCACGCTGGAGCAGGTGCTCGGCCAGGCACTGCAAACACCCAAAGCCTCCGGCCCCGGAGCATCCCGAGCTCCCTCCACACCCTGGGATAAACCCTCCCGCTGCCGGAGCAGAGCCAGGATTTCTAGGATTTCAGATCCTTGGACAACGTGTCCGTGTCATTGCTGGTTCCCAGGTGGCTGTTGGGCACGATGCCCAGCGCCACCTCGTTCTGGGGCTTGCCCAGCATTTTGTTCCCCCTGAACTTCATGAACCGCTGCCCTGCCAAGAAGTACAGGATGGGGTCCAGGCAGCTGTTGGTGCTGGCCAGGGGCCGGGTCACCTTGTAGGCCAAGTTGATGGCGTTGAGGGTCTGGCAGCTCAGGTCCCAGCTCCGGAAGGAGTAGTAGAGGGTACGAGTGACGTGGAAAGGCAGGAAGCAGACAATGAAGACCACCAGGACGATGACGATCATCTTGACCGACTTCTTCTTGGAGCGGGAAAGGCGGGAGATGCCGCGTGTGGGCTGCAGCAGCCGCCGCGCCATCAGGCAGTAGCACACGATGATGGCGAGGAAGGGGATGCAGAAGAGCAGCACCAGCATCACCGAGCTGTAGATGACGAACTGGCCGAAGAGGTCCTTGCTGGAGGTGTCGTGGCAGGTGATGGTGTCGCCCTTGGCGCTGGTGGTGACGAAGAAGAGCACGGGCGACTGGCAGGCGACGGTCACGGCCCACACGGCCGCCGACACGCGCCGGGCGTGCCGCACGTGCCCCCACTGCAGCGAGCGCAGCGGGAAGCAGATGCCCAGGAAGCGGTGGACGCTGATGCAGAGCAGGAAGAGGATGCTGCAGTAGAGGTTGGTGTAGAACAGGAAGCGCACGATCTTGCACAGGCCCACGCTGAAGGGCCAGTTGTCCCCCATGGCGTAGTAGTACACCAGGAGGGGCAGCGACACCACGTAGAGCGTGTCCGAGATGGCCAGGTTGAACATGTAGGTGGTGGAGGCGTTCCAGGTCTTGATCCTGAAGATGAAGGCGTAGAGGGCCAGCAGGTTGAGGAAGAGCCCCACCACGCACACGATGCCGTAGGAGACGGGCAGCAGGACGTACTTGAAGTCCTCATCAAATACGCACTTGTAGGGGTTGTCATCTGTGCCACCCGGGTCCAGGGAGCTGTTGATGACTCTGGTCCAGGCTGGAGGGATCGTGAGGTTCGCCATCGCCCTGTGGGGGAAGCAATGAGGCTATAAGGACATGGAGTGAGGGTTCATCCCTGGGTGAGGGGAGTTAGATGAGAATACTCCACTGCCACAGTGTTGGGACACGCTGTGGAGGTCAAGATGCCATTATCACTGTTCCTACACCCTTCCCTTCTCCTCCCACCAAGGTTGCCGTCGGTGCTTGGCTGGTGCTGTCCCAAAGCCACCCCACAAGCACAGCTGGCAGTGCCATCTCTGCAGGTGACAATGGCTCCAGGCTGGTCCTGTGTGCCTCCTGCCAGCTCATCATCACCTGCCCACAGAGACCATGGTGCTGGGTGCTGACACAGCTGAGGTGGTCCCTGCCACGGGGGATTTATGGTCAAGCAGATAAAAGGGAGTTTTACTTAACCTCGTTTTGCATCTGGAGGACGGAGGTGGAACTAAGGTGCACCAACAAATCCCAGGCCCAGTTCAATGTCCCAGTCTACCTTTCCAACCAGGTTCCCACGGAAAATTTGGATTCCTGTATCCCAGAGCAGGAAAGATGCTCCGATCTGTGTTTAACCAGCCACGAGGAGTGACTCAGCTGAGCACCACGAAAATTGGGTCCTACTGAACCCCAGGCAGAGTGGGCAAAAAGGTGGAGCTGTGCTTTTCTAGGAGCAATCCCTGCGACTGGTCCCGATATCAGAGGTCCTCAGCTCCTTGTGGAAGAGGAAACATCCCCACATCTGTAATCAAACCTTTGCAAAGGGAGCATGTTCTTCATCACAGGGGCTCTGCCTGGGCTGGCTGTTGTAGGTGAGGATGGTTATAAGGGGGTTGGTTTTGGGCTGAGGGTGACCAGCTCCCAGGTCCTGCTCGCTGGCCTCGAGACCTGCTTCTCCAGCATCCCAGCTGGTTTCTGCACGGGAACGATCAGCCAAGAGGAGAAAAATGGACTTGAAAGAGTCTCTGCAGGCACACAGAGTCTGGCAGTGCCTGCGTGAGGAGGGACAAGGGCCCTTTTGTGTGTGGGGACAGCCCCGGACCCAGCTGACACCCGATCCCCGAGCGAGCCCATCACTCGGGAATCAAACGGGAATGCATTTCCTCCCTTCCCGTAAGAGAGGCCGCTGCGATCCCAGATCCCACCGCTGTGCCCTGTTACGGGAAGCTGCGGAAACGGGGGGTTAAAGGGAGATGGATCCAGGGCAGCAGCTCAGGGACGCGGAGAAAAGGTTGCAGTGGAAGTGCCCTGACCCAAATCTTACCATGATTTTAGGTGGAAAAGAACAATCCCAGCCCTCTCAGCTCTAACCTGGTGCCACCGGGCTATGCCTTTTCTCCCTTACGAGCACCTACCCCTTTCTCCACCCCTCATTTCTCCCAAATTAGGCTTGCAAAGGATCCGTGCTTCTCTTCTTTCCCCCACCTTTGGAGGGCAGCTCCACTCCAGCAATGGAGCTCTCCCCCTGAAGCAGCCACGTGCCTCGGTTTCCCTTCCTGTCCCCAGGCTGAGAAACAGCAGAGCTGAATTAGTTTTCTCCGGGAAAAGTATTTTTCTGGGGGTGTTTTGGTTTCCTGGAGGGTTTTGCAGTGCCTTGAGCCAAGTTCAAAAGAGAAAAGGGAGCCTGGATAAAAGAGGTAACGACTTTATGGCTTTGTTTAGACCCAGAGCTCTCCTGCACCCACCCCAGGTCAGATCCTGCAGGGAAGGAGGCAATGACAGTTTCGTGGAAGCTGCAGACCTGCCTGATCTCTCACTCCTTAAAAAGCACCTGGAGCTGGTGGAGGAGGTGTGAAGTGATGCCCCCAGCCCCTCACAAGGGGACACTCCAGTCCTTGCTCCAAGGACTGGAACAAACCTGATCAGAAGCGGCACAGACACGATCCCTGCTGATGCTCCCCCCATTTTACTGCTTTTCCCTTCCCAGCAGCCCACAAGGAGAACTGGCTGAGGCTCCCACTGCCCAGGGATGTGGGTGGAAACCACACACATGCTCACGTCCCAGTTAATCTGCAACATCTGTAAAACCCCAGATCTAACTTTGGGAACCAGTCTGTGATGAGCACGAGGAGCCAGCACTGATCTTGCTCTGCCCTGCCCTCAGGGCTTCGCTTCTCCTGCACTCAGATCAGCTCTGGTCCCATCCTGCTTCCCTCCAAGCCCTCAGCAGAGGGGCTGTGGCTGTGGCAGGAGAGGGTTAACAGCGCTCAGGCAGATGGGAAAACACTTCCCAGCTGCTCCTCTCCAACTCCTGCCTTCCCTCTGAGCTCTGCAGATCTGTGGCCAGCCAGAGAGAGGTTGCCCACAGATCTGGCAACAGATTAAACGGGTCAGAGAGGCCACCGTGGCCGAGAGGAGCCACACAAGATGCCCTAAAAGGCACAGGGAAGGGTGACAGGGTTCCAGAGGGTTCCAGAGGCTGCAGCCTTGCAGGGGTTTCTCTCTGCCTTGCCATCTGCACCCCCTCCATCCCCTGCAGACTAATGGGGACAAGCTCAGCCCCCTTCCCAGCCACCTCCCCACAGGCTCCTGAGCTAGAAAAGCCCCACGAGGTGTTTCAAACCCCTCCTTAAGCCAAGGGGGGGGGGAATCTCCTCCGGCTGCCACCAGAGAGCAGATGGAGATGTTGCTCATCTCCATCTCCAGGCCAAGGAGCAGACGGGGCTCTCTGGCTGAATGGAGCCTTGTCCCTGCTGTCGTGCTCTCCCTCCTTTTTCCTTCTGGAAATGCAAAAGCCTTTCTTTTTCATTTTCCAGCCCCCCCTAGTTTTGCCCAGAATGCTCAGGACAAAACCTGCTGTGTCTGTGGGGCCTGTGGCTGCATCCACCCCCTCCATCCCGGCCCTGCTGCGTCCACAGTGACCCGAGGGGGGACACGAGCCACGTGAAGGCACAAAGGCTGGCACTGGCAGCTGCCCTTTGCTGCGCCCACCAACACCAGCTCTGCCAGTGACACATCCAGCCCCCGGCAGGGGTGAGGGCACGGCGGAAGCAGCAGCCATCCCGGAGGATGCCAAGCAGGATAAATGCTTCCGTTGCTCTCCCAAAAAAGTGACAGCCCCCTGCATCTGCTCCATCCTGTCTCCCGGCCATTTCCAAGGACCTGGTCTGCAGTGGCTGGAGCACCTCTCTCTCTCCAGCATGTTTATTCTATGGGACAGTGGGGGTTTTTTTCCCCAGAAAACTGATGGTGAATGGGAGAAGAACCTGGTGATGAGAGGAGCCTGGGCAGATCCATGTCCTGGCAGCCACATGTCCTCCAGTATATCTCCCCACAGGCATGTGCATGTGTTGTCAGCATCCCAAAATGCTCCTGTAACAGTATCTCCCATGGATATTGGGATGAGTCAGTACGGGGAAGGAGGGAGCTGTCACCAGAGAAGGTCACGGGCAGCACCCTGGGCCAGCATAAAGGGACCACGGGTTGGACACTGAATTGCAAAGTAAAGGGCTTTAATCCTGATTTCTGCCCCATTTTTCAGCATTCCCAGTGCCATCCCAGTGGTCACCATCCATCCATCCATTCCTGGGGAACCTGCCAGCAGCAACAAAGTCCCTGAAGACCACAAAGCCCAACCAAATGATGGCTGCGATGGATACGTTTTCACAGGCGGGGGTTGATGAGGTTTAATTGGCCTTCCCAAATAATTAATGTGGATTAATTCACCAGCAGGACCTCACAGATGCAGCCCTTTGTTCTGCCACAGCTCCCGCCGCTTCCCGCCGAAGGAGGTCGAAACCACGACCCACTTCCCACATCTCCACCACCTCTTTTCCAAGGGACACCAGGAGAGTGGGGGTGTTTTCCCTGCCCTAATTTATGGGCATTTACTGGACTCATCAAAAAAAAAGAGGAACTACTCCAGACTCTGGGAAGCAAAGGACCTGGCATGGTGTTTCCCTCCTCTGGGACTGTGGTCAAACCCTCTGTGACCCAACGCGAGCCAGCAGCACATTTGGATGCCCCCGAGCCTGGCGGGCTGGGAGAGGGGAGAGGGGACCAGGCTGAAACTTGAGCCTGCCCAAACTGCCTGGCTTTCATCTGCCCTTTCCCCTTGGCTCCTCTCTGCCACGCTGACCTTCAGAGTCTTTCCCCCTCCGTGCTGACTCTGGCCACCGGCATGGGCTGAGGACACCTCCAGCTGTCCCACTTCCACCACCCCCTGCTGTCCCAGGGCCACCAACCCCAGCTCTCCCAGTACCACCATCCCCAGTTCTCCCAGTGCCACCATCCCCAGTTCTCCCAGTGCCACCAACCCCAGCTCTTCCTGGAGCTTCTCTCCAGCGATCCCAAGCCAAGATACCTCCAGGATCCATTTCCAGGATACCCAAGCAGCTTCAGGGGCTTTGTCCATCTCCCTGCATGTCCCTCTTCTACCTACCCCTTCCTCCACCCCCAAAATATCCAGAACCCCTCATTTCTACCAAATTAGGCTTGCAAAGGATCCGTCCTTCTCTTCTTTCCCCCACCTTTGGAGGGCAGCTCCACTCCAGCAGTGGAGCTCTCCCCCTGAAGCAGCCACGTGCCTCGGTTTCCTCTCCTGTCCCCAGGCTGAGAAACAGCAGAGCTGAATTAGTTTTCTCCGGGAAAAGTATTTTTCTGGGGGTGTTTTGGTTTCCTGGAGGGTTTTGCAGTGCCTTGAGCCAAGCTCAAAAGACAAAAGGGAGCCTGGATAAAAGAGGTCATGACTTTATGGCTTTGTGTTGTAGGTCAATTAAAATGTTTTGCTTTGGGACAAATGACTTTTTCGGGGAATTTCTGGTTCCCCCCAAGAAACTCCCCGAATTTCTCCCTGAACCAATCCCCCTTCCAGCCTTTGCTTCCCAGATGGTACCAAAACCTTCTGCTTTGGTCCCCACCACGGGAAATCAATCCCATTGATTCCCAGCACGGCAGGTCTCTGGGGATGGATCCTGCTGGAAGCAAACATCAACCCAGGCCAATATTTAATCCCTTCATCAACACTTCCTTCCTGCTTTGGCAAAGGTGATGCTCCCTGCCTGTTTTCCCCCTGCATCCCTATTTCACCTTCTCCACCAGGAGACCCTGCAGCATCCCATGGGATCGGGGGAGGATACTATTTGAGCCCCCAGACTATGCTTTTTATTTATTGCACAGGAAAAATGGGGCACTTTGCACCTTTTAGGCTTCCTGGAGGGGTTTACATCAGGAATTTGGCTTTGGTTTTGCCCTCTATGATTTTCTGGTGCTCGCTGGAGGAACCTGGAGATGAGATTGGGACCAGTTTCCATCAATCACCTGCTTTTTGGTGACTGTTTTCCCCTCCAAGCCCCACAGCTGGGAGAAATGACATTTCCACGGGGACCTACCAGCCCAAGAGAGCCACCCAGCAACGACCACAACCACCCTGGCAACCCCAAACTTCTGGGAGATAACCAGAGACCTCGGATAACACAATTATCAGGCTCCACCACGGCACCAGAATTACTGGGAAGCCAAAGCACCACCACGGGGTGGACTCTTGGGGGGATGATTTTCTCCTCCATGGAAGCAGCAGGGCCTTTGCTCCATGGACTGGTTTCCTGGGGGGGTGCTGGGTGGGGAGGAGGGAGCCCAGGGTGGCCCCAGCACGCTCCAGTGCCGGCCAACTATTCATGGCTTTGGCTCCATGTCAAGAGCCGGAGATAAAAATCGCACTGGGCAGAGACAGGATAAAGTCACTCAGTGCCATGACAGTCAAAAAAACACTCCTGGGGCTTTTAGAAACCTCTAAATCCCAAAATATTGACATGCTTCGAGGCTTAGCACACTTAGGGGTCTCCTCCTTAACCCACCAGGCACCGAGGCTGAAGTTCCCTTTGCTTGAGTAGAAATAAGAGGGATTTGGTGGCACAAAGCGGCCCAATTTTGGCAGCAGTGACCTTGAGCCACGGGGCACCATCCCCCAGTGTCAGTGGCCCCACAAGAGCAGGGTTTGCTGCTCCTCACCTCGTGCACAGGAAGGCAGTGGGTTGCCAAATGGGTTTTGCAAGAACCCGATAAGAAAACTGGAACAGAAAGAGAAAATTCGACGTTTTGCCCTTAAAGTTGTTCCGGCAGTGATGCCAGGCAGTGCCCAGTTTGGGGAAAGAAGGGAGTTTGGGGGGAAAGAAGGGTGTTTTGGGGGTTAGGAGCTGCTAAAAGGAGTCAAAGGGTTTGAAATCAGAGCGTCACCCATTCCGGTGTAAATTAAAACGCCTCTAAAGAGTTCAAACATCGACCTAAGCATTCGAAGAGGTGGAAAAACACACGTTGGAGCAAGCAGGGAGCGAGTTCCACGGCTTTAAGCAGAGGTGTGTACGGGAAATCCCGGATAAACAGCCAGTGAATTCCCCCGGGAGGGAAGAAACCGAGCGGCAAAGAGATGATTGTGAATTAATGCATTAAAAAAAAAAAAAAATCAAATGAATCAGGCCAAGAGGAGCAAAGGGAGCAGGAGCTTCCTCGAGCGCACGGCTCGACCCGTCTGTGGCAGTGGCAGCGGCTCCGTGCCGGCTGCTGCTCCCACCCACCGTCCTGCGGGGATTTTGGGGGGCTTTGGGGGCAGTTTGAGTGGTAGTACAGGCAGTCTGGGGGGGTGTGAGGAGAAACGGGGGGTCGGCTCTGCCCGTGCAGTGCGTGGGGACCCCGTGGCACCCACCCCGCAGCAAGTGCCACCCCCCGTGCGTGTCTCTGTGTCCGTGCGTGTCTGTGTGTCCGTGTGTGTCTGTGTGTCCGTGAGTTGGTGTGTCCGTGTCCCACCTATGTGTCTGATTGTCTGTGCCCCCTACCCACGTGTGTGTCCCCCACACATGTCCCCGCTCCCACCCGACTCCGGGGGTCGCCCCCCATCCCCCCCCCGGCGTCCCTCCCTGTCGCAGCCCGTCCTGAGTGGGTAGGACACGCACCCCATTGTCCCCCCATGGTCCCATTACTCCCCGCCCCCATTCTCTCCCCGCTGTCCCCTCCACTGTCCCCCTATTGTCCCCCCGCGGTCCCCCCGCTGTCCCCCCACAGCCCCTCTGCCGCTGCCACCGCGCTTACCGGGCGATGCCGAGCTGGGGGTCGGTGCCGGGGGTCAGTGTCGGGGTCGGAGCCGATGGCCCCGCTCAGGAGGGCTGCGGAGGCATCTCCATGCCCGGTCCGCTCCTTCCCCCGCTCCTCGTCCCGGTCCCGGGGCCGCGTGTGAGCCGGGACGGGGTCGGGGGTGGGGCCGCACCGCCCTCCCGGGGCTGGGAACGGGACTGGGAACGGGGCAGGACCGGGGCCAGGACCGCCCCCACCAGCGCTGGGACCGCCCCCGCCCCCGGGACGGGACGGGACAGGAGATCTCCTGCCGGGATGGGGGCATGGAGGGAATAGGGCTGGGACAGGGACGGGACACCTCCCGCAGGGGTTGGGATCGGAACAGGAGCCTGGATGGGACTGTGGAGGGAATCGGGATTTGGGCTAGAGCTGGAGCCCCCCGCTCCCTCCCCCGGGAATGGGAGTATGGATGGGATCGGGGCTGGGAGCGGGACCGGACACCGACCGCTCCTACCTTGACCCCCCGGGAACGGGACCGGGATACGGGCTAAGGCAGGAACCCCCCCATCCTCCAGGAATGGAGCATGGATGGTATCAGGGTTGGGATTGACGCTGGAGACAGGTGATCGCCCCTCAAATCCTCCCCCGGGGATGGAACTGGGGACGGGACCGGGGACAGCGATACCGAAAAGCGGCAGAAACAAACTCCTTAACAGCGATTTGTAGGTGTTAAAAAGGGCATTCTTTATTGTTCCTCTCCTGGGAACTGCGGGGGGCTGGGATCAGCCACAAACGGGGGGCAGACCTGTCCAAATCCCTCTGGTGGGATGCAAAATGTCCACAGAAACCTAAGGGGTATTGGACCACCCTGTGGAAGAGAAGTCCCTCAAGGGCGCTGCATTTCTAGAAAATAGGTTGATTTTGGGTGCTGTGGGTGTCAGCTGGGAGGTTGTGTCTCCCATATCACCCCAACACCCTATGGAGACGCTCTGGGATCTGTGTCCATCCATCCCTGTCATGACAAGGCCTCCCAAGAAGCTTTGGGAAGCTGTGGAGGGCTGCCACCCCCTCCCTGCAGGTGGCTGCTGCCCCAGGGACGATGGCCAGGTCCAACCCTACATCCCCCGTGGGGGTCACTCACCTGGGTGACAAACCTCCAAATCTGGGGGGCCTGGAGGGTCCCTGGCCAGGCTGGGGCTGGAGAACAAGCCCCGCTGATTCACGTGCAGGTGGCCCCGTTGTTTTCCACCGCCGCGAGTTTCCCCCCGTGCATTCCCCATCTGCGGCCCTGGGTGGGAGCCAGATCCTCCTGCTCCAGCTGGATCTCATTCCATGGAGGGCCTCCTCGGATATGGCCAGGGGAGGACCATAAAGCCCCCAGTGGAGGAGGGGAAGGGCACCAGTGCCATCTATTATTCAGCAGCAGAAAACAGCAGCCGGCTGAGGAGGAGGATATGAAGGCCTGGCACGGAAACGGGGGCTGCAGAGATCTTGCTGATGGACATCCATGCCAGAAGAGAAGGGGAAGAAAAATATGCCTGTTTCCTTCTTCTGATGTAATTTGTTTGAGGAGGGAAAACAATACATCACGTCGCAGCTATTTGGGGCTGATAAGGAGGAAGGACAAGCTCGTTGCTTGCTCAGAGGGAGATGCCTGGGCAGAGCTGTTGAGTGAGGCTCAGACTGCTGAGATGCCCCAGGGTGCCCAGTTAAGCCCATCTCTCCCGGATTTGGAAGCACTTCTTGGGCAAAGGTTGGGTTAACAGGCCCCACAGCACCTTGGTTTCATCCTCCAAATCCTTCACCCCAGCTCCCTCCAAAGGAGGGACGATGTCCAGGGGCGATGGATGGAGCTGTGGATGATTTCCAGAGGCTTGTCCGCGACCCATGGGGGGGTTGCTGCTGCTCAGCAGCCCTTGCCTGGCGCCGTCTCCTCCACCCTGGTCCTCCAAGGGCTGAACACCCGCGGCTCTTCCACCACAAGATGAAGCCAAACGGCTCAAAAACAAGAGGAAGGCGCCTTTCCCATCTCCAAGGGTGATTAATTATGACCACGACCTCTGGAGTGCTTTGGTTGCTGGATGCTTCCAACAGGCAAGAGGAGATGTTTTTCTGAGAGCCTGTTTGGAGTGGGGAAGTGGTCCCCGGGAGAGTCCTCTTCCCATCAGACCTTTTCCAAGCCTCCTTGAAGTCCCAGCAGCTTCCAGCAAGCAGGAGCTTCACAGCTTCACTGCCCACTGCAAGGAAAAGCCTTTCTCTCACTTTTTCCCACTTGTTTGGGCCTGAGGGAGGGGGGAGGAGGGCGCCCACCCTGACCCACCTTCCTGATCCCCGTCCTTCACGCAGGCGACGCTCGCCTATTACCCAGGGTACCCAAACCAAGAGCCTCCCTGCCCCCAAATCTCCATTTCCCAGCTCCAGAGCAGCTCAAAGAAGCCAAAGGAAGGGGCAGATGTTTCAAATCCCCTTGAAAAGGGAACGATTTGTGCAGCTGCAGCAGCAGAACACGGCAGCGAGCGGAGAGAGCCTTGTGAGCCGACCTGGAAAGCGGCCCCACAGTTCCCTCCACGGCTTCATTTTTCAACTGTTTTGGCAGCAGGGCAGGTTTCTAAGACACTTTCAAAACATTTCCATGTTGACTAGCGGGGAGGAATGTGATACAGGAATGGGAGGAGCTGGGTGGCCGCGGCAGAGCCTTGCTGTGCTGCACCCATGGGTGCAGCTAAAACCTGCAGTGCGGGCAGGGAGACACCAGAAGGGCTTGAGAGCAGCTGAGATCTATCAAATCTCTTTTCATTAACTTTTTTTTTTTTTTTTTTTTTTTTTTTTAGGTCTTAGTGAAAGAAAGGATGGAAGGTTTGCAGATTTGTCAGGTCGAGCCTGCAGATCTGCCTGGCATCGGCTGGTGGGAGAGGAGAGGGTGAATGTTCACCCACATCTGTGCCAGTGCAGACTGATGCCCTGATCCAGCGTGGTTTGGTCACTTCTCATGGTGTCTTGGCTGGCAAGATGCCCAGCCACCCAACTGGGGGGCTGAAATGTGCCCTGTGTGATGCAGGAGGCACATTCTGGGGGAGCAGCTCTGATTTTGGTGCCTCCCAGAGTGGCTGCGTTTTCCCTCCAGGATGCCCTAATTCAGGACCAGCAGCAACTTTGAAGGGTATATGAGGGGCACAAAAAGACAACCTAGATGGAGAATGAATGCTCTGCTCGTGGTGCCAATGGGGTCAGGTGGGGCTGGTACCCCATGGGTGCTTTGGAGACATGGGAGCACCTTCCCAGCAGCCAACAAGCTTCCAAATAGGGTTGATTAATTGGAAGTGGGGCTGGAATATGGTTGGAAAAGTCCTCTAAGGTCGAGTCTGAGTGTAAACCCAGCACCACTAACACACGCCCCCAAGTGCCACATCCACAGGTTCTTTGCTCAGTTCCAGGGGCTGTGATTCCATCACTTCCCTGGGCAGCCTGTTCCAATGCCTGGCCACCCTTTCAGGGAAGAAATATCTCCAAACATCCAGTCTAAGCCTCCCTTGGTGTAACTTTTCTCTCCTCCACCAGCAGTTGGTTTTTTTTTTCAACCCAGCTTTTGTTTCCTCCCCTCTGAGCTCCCCAACCTTCCTCCTCCACAGCCCTCAGGGCTCCAGGGCACGAGGGTGATGGAGCTGCCACTCGTTTTTCCTCCCAGCTCCCACACAATCCAGTTTTTTTGGCAGTGTTTGCAGCCTCCAGGAGCATCCCCCCTCCCTCAGGATGGTGCTTGCAAAGATGGGCCCCGAAACACAAGCATTCTGTTGTGGCCAACAATGCTGGGTCTGTGAAGACCATAAATAAACACATCACAGCGGGGCAGGTGTGTTAAAATTAACCCATGGGCCTGGCCTACGTGTGCTGTGGGTTCCCAGACGTGTTTGGGCCCTGCAGGTCGTGCAGGGAGGGAAGGGGGAGCACAGTAAAGCCACAAAACCCCTCAGGGTCAGCTCTGGCAGGGGCAGCTCTGCTGCTGCTGCCCCCAGTGATGGCTTTCTTCGAGCAGACATGCCGAGTTTTCTGTCAAATTTCATTTCCTCTTCTGCACCTCCCTCCGGGACTGCCTAGAAAATAGTAAATATGACAGAGATTGAAAACAAAAAAGCCCCTAACAGCTGAGGTCTTACTCAAGAAGTTTTGAGTGAGTTGCAAGAACAGGAGGTGCTGGAAGAGGTTCCTGGATCCTGGGGTCCAATTGCCCCCCAAATTTGGCAAGGGGGTCAATGCTTGACTGACCCTCAGCAGCTCAGCCTGAAGGTGGAAACGCAGCCTGGCACCACAGTGGAATTCTTCCAGCTGGAAAGTGGTTCAAGGGGTGGTTTTTTACCTATCCCTAATGAGGGACCCGGCAGAAAGGAACCACAGAGATGTTCAGGAGTGAATTCCCAGCAGTGCTAGGGGAAAAGCCATTTCACAGCAGTTTTGTGGGTCGTTGTTCTTGCTCTCAGCTCCCAGCACTGAGAGGATGGGGACCAGTGCAGGTCCCACCCTGGAATCCCTTTGTTTCCAAAAAAAACCACCCTTGTGCTCACTTTTGAAGTCACTTCCTTCCCCTCCTGCTCCAAAACAACATTTGCATTCCTCAGGGGGATTCCCACTGAGGCAACCCATGGAATGGCACTGGGAGAGCACGTGGATTTGTGGAGCCCAGGAAGCTGCTGCTCCCTGTGGGTGCCACGTGGTGGGGGGTGCTCCTTGTCCAGCCCAGCCCAGGAAACGAGAGGTTTTGTCAGCCCCAGTGAGTCCACCCCATGCATGGAGCCCTCTTGGAGATGTCCTTCCAAATTCCCATTCCAAATAGGGGGAAAGAAGTCTCTCTTTAGACCCCAAACTGGAACACTCCCTGATTTGATGGATGAGGGCACCATCACACCTCCACCACGCCCAGCAACCCTCCTGGGTGACCCATCCTGCTTCCTGCCCTTCGGAAGAAGGTTGGTGGCCTCCTCCTCCACTCAGCTCATCCTTTAGCCCCTTCCCCATGAACACAACAGGGTGTTGGAAGCAAACCAACATTAGGGCTGCTAAAAATAATGGAATCACAGAGGCTGGAAAAGAGCTTTAAGACCATGGAGTTCCCCAGAACTGCCACCACCAAACCATGTTCGCAGGTGCCAC